TTCATCGATTCTGAGTTGCTTCGTTAAATCAGCATCAAAAAAGTTCATTTTGTATCTTGGATCCAAATAAGTTGACATATCTTATCAGCTTTCTTATTAATTTTATTTTTATTCAAATATCGTAGTAATGTGGCAATATAGGGTATCACTTCAGAAATGCACCGGATATCCGGCCGAAAGGGATGCCGGATATCCGGTATCCGTCTTTTCGCAAAATCACTATTTGTTCCATTACTAGTTTTAACTCAAAGATGATGAGAGAGGTCAGAGCTATGATGAAAAACGTCAAGGGCCAGAAATCAAAGCTAGAAGCAATGTTGAGGAAGACCAGAAACGCTGTTGAGAGGTACGATTTGAAGGGATGTTTAGGCCTATATTGATGGTTATTAAAATTAAGATTGACTGCTGTCCGGAAAAGTCTTCAGAGATGAAATTGAAGTTGAAGACAATGTAAAATTGTGACAGAAACGATGTCAAGGCATATCTTAAACGATGTTAAATGGAGTGCGGGAAGTTATTAAAAGATGTCTTGGGTGGGTCTGAAAAGGACTTATTAAGCTGCAACTTGGACGATTTTGAAGATGTAAGATATAGCGTTATCTGGCCGATAAGTTAATTTGTACTGTATTACAATGTACGGATATTTTTGTTGGCAAGATTATCGGCAGGATAACTTATCGCGTACTCAGCAGTGCCGATAAAACAGTTATCCGCCGGATATATCTGGCTAATCTATAACATCCTATACGTACGTTTTGTGATATGGGGAAAAAGTACTATCAACAGTTTGTACAAAAGCGAATATCTTTATCCTCCCGATAAATTAATAGGCCGAATAGTTATCAGGTAGATTTCCAGGACACAACTTTGTCGCAAAAGAAAACCAAAGAGGTTTTATGCTTCAGCAAAGAAAACTTAAAGTTGTTCTCAGGTTTTATGACATTGGACAAGCGGAGGATCAAACACGCTGAACATACACTGTGTATTTTCGGAAATGGAACAAGACCTTGGAGCAATAATAAGGTTCTTCAAGGAACTGGAAGTTTAGAGCAAAATCTTTGGAGGAATTATATTTAGAAGGTTACTCATGTGTCTAAATGCAAAGAGATTCAGGTTTTAATTTGCTACGCAGTTTGCAATGAGATGCAAATAATATAACGAAATAAGTTTGCGAGCTTGCTTAAGTGTCTAAATGTAAAGAGATTCAGTTTTTAGATCGCAACGTAGTTTACAAAAAGTTTCAAATAATATTATAAATTAAATTTGAAGGGCTACTACAAAGAGAACCAGGATTTTCAGTTTATAAAAAGATATAGTATTTGGTTATAAAGACATTCAAATTCAAGTTCCAGATTGGAGAAATATGATGATTTCGCCATGGTAATTATATTATATAAAAAACTAATAAGATTATACCATACCCAAAAAATCCTTGATCTCTCTCCTCCTCTTGTCAGGAATCAAAAGCCAGGTTCTTCCCATCGCTTAATTTAAGAGTTAATTCCTAAATTTAAAAGTTCTCTGTCAAACAAGTTTGAACGAATACAGTCTTAAACACCATTAATTCTTAAATGATTTTATTAGGGAAGACGATAGTTTTGCAATTACTTGTACGGCTTTGTTCAACTCGGATTAGTTCCATCCGGACGCCTGCGAGAGAATGAGGCCCACTTCGAGAACAAGCTCCTTAAACTTCACTCGCAAAGTTATTCGTATCGACCTGTAAGTTCCCGATAGGAATCGCTAAGCCTATAATATTTTGGCATTCTGATTCATGATGTGGGTACGCAGAATAAGAAAAAATTAAATATCAAATTTAGACACCGTGGAGTTACTTTTTTAATTTTTTTTGTTGAGTTTTTTGAAGGATTTTTTTCTCTAAGTAAAAAACTTAATTAAGGTGTTAAATTTCTATTAACAATTTAAACTAAGAATGATTGAAGTAAATATCAAGACATAAACGTAGGCAGGTAATTTATTAGTAAATCAAAATCGTAGGTGTACATATTTTCGCTATAATTATGGGTGAATTTATTATTCAAGAATCGAAAATAAAAAATATTTATTATCGAGTATCGAGCAATAAACCCACGGTTTTCTTTTTAAAGAATTTATAGGTTGAAAAATGTTCGCCCAATACTAAATAGCACCTGTATCATTATTTATAAGATTAAATTTTTATAAATATTGAATTTTTTTACTGTTTGAATAACCTTTGATAAAAAGGAAAACGATTTCGTACGATGGAAAGAAATTTTTTATTAAATTTATTTCTCTTACGGTATAAAATCACGTATATAAAATAAAATTCACCAACCGGAAATAACTTTTCCCCTTTGATCTTATTTGAAACAATTTGTTACGTAACTTATATTTTTTTGATAACAACTCCTCACCCAACCATCCCAATTTTTAAAACCAATTTCCTCTTGAATTTTTTTCGCACAGTTTGCGTCATCGTTTATATCATCATCTAATAAATCTAAAATCCACACAAAAAAAAATTAACTTTTAAAAGGTTCTTAGTTCAAATGATGTTGATTTTTACCTTCGCATTTTATGTTACATTTTCCCCCGGCTTTACCTTGTTTACACCATTCCCGGTCGTTTATCTAGAACAATAACCAAAACTAAAACGATATTTCACAAAAATAATACAAAATCCGATTTCTTTCGGGTACAAAATCGAACCCGGAAGTGAACTTTCACGTTTTATTTCCTTTTTTGCTGTTGTTGTTGGTTGTACGTGACTCAATTCGTTCGAATCTTTACCTAAATCGGATTTTCGTAAAAACCCATCTCCTAAAACGAGGGTTACGTACCTGGAAAATGCCGTAATTGGTGCTTCCGTTTGCTTTTTTCGTCACTTTTGATGTATCTTTAGCGCTTTCGCTTTCTATCATACAAACCCCTAAAAAAATATACAAATCATTAATCACATTTTATTCTATATATACTATATTTATTATTTATCAATTGATATATATGTATTAATTACCAAAACAAGGTCATTAAAATCAAAGGTCGTTTTTTATTGTATTATTTACGATAAGTCTTAAGGTTAGTTTTGATTAATTTAAAATTTACAAGAACGTATTAGCTCAATGTACGTACAATTACCAATAAAAGATCTATTAAATTTTTTCCTATTTAATTCGTTAACGAGCCCACATCGCGTGTACTGTTTTGAAACGGTGTAATCACAAAAAACTATTACAATACCAACAACAACAAACGTAAAAAGTATTCGATTCATTGCATAATCGAAACGCGCACTATCGCAGTTGGAGATTATCTGTATGGAAACGGCACCTTTATGTTATATTAAAGCGAAACAAGCTTTGAAATAAACATAAAAACTGTTTGTGGTTTCTTAATAAAAATACCAACCGCAATACTTTGTGTGTGTGTTATTTTTACATAACACATATCGTTTGGATTAAAAGAGTTTTTCCAGAAATTATTTTCCTTTGATTTAATGCATTGTAAGTATTGTTCTTTTAAATTGTCAATAGATGGAGTAATAATTTAAATATAGAAAGACCTTGATTGAAAAAGAAAAACGTATATTTGTTTCTAAATTTCTTAAAATCTTAAAAATGAGTTTTTATTAATCCAAATTTTTTATTAGTTTCTAATCTCGGTTATAGATGGCGTTTATTGGTGATTGTTGATGATTTGGTTGAGGCAAGTGAACTTTTATCTCGCTTTGATGCGATTAAAAATAGTTGCTTATTGACAAGTTTTAATAAAAATTTACAGGAAGAATATTGTTGGATTGTTTATTTCCAGTCCCTAACCGGGTTTTCTTTAATGGACTACGCAATATGTTAGATAATACATAATGATTATCGAATTAGGTGTATTTTGATGTAAAGAATGTTTATGCCAGAGGCTTGAATGAATAATTGGATGAACTCTATAACTATGTCAGCTGGGTTTCAGTTTAAAGACCACTTTACAGAAAGATAACTCTATGGTGGGTTCAAGGTGACAAAGACATTGAGGGCAACTTTATTAGGGCCAACCCGACTATAGTCAAGAAAAAAGCCACTAATTAATAATTGTAATTAATTGTGCTAGAATGAACATCCAGGACACAACTTCGTCGGAAAAGAAAACCAAACAGGTTTTATGCCTTAGCAAAGGAGATTTAAAGTTGTTCTCAGGTTTCATGACTGGCCACACGTCTCTAAAATACCACCTCTTCAACATGGGACAAGCTGAGGATCAAACATGTCGATTTTGCAACGACGAGTCAGAAACCACTAAACGTACAGTTACTTTACCCATACCAGTCTTAGTGAAGCTGATATTCAACAACGAATGCTTTTTTGTAACTGGTTTCTACAGCAGTGTATAATTCTGAACTTCCAATCCGTTGTGCATTTTACGGATAAACATCATCCTTCCATTACAAACATGCCGTGACTTATGGTTAATGGTGCTTCACCACATTTCATTCGTGTTGCCAGGGATTACTTAAATAATACTTTTCAGAATCATTGGATTAGCAGAGGTGGACGAGTTGCGTGGCCACCATGTTCCTCAGAGTGCCTACTCATACTTTACAAGAACTGCGCGACCAAATCAATCATAGTCCTTGTATATCTTTATTATTTTGCCGAAAATAGGTAAATACGCACGAACGAGATGGAGAAATTAGTTGAACGTAATTACTTTAAAGAGAACTTTTTGGCAACCAACCCGGCAAAGTTAACCTTATTCCATTTTTCCCCGGTTCTTCTAAAAGCTTATTTACTTAAACATTTCTTTTAAAGTCACTTCTTTACTTGGTATACTATAAATAACTTGTTTTTATATAAATTTATGTATTTTTGCGGAACAATTCTTTTATCGCCGCAATTCCATTTTGTTTCCATCTGTAATAAATTGGAAAATCGACTGAAACGGAAGTATTCTGCATCATAAATGTGCGTACATTGCATGGGGCTTATTTGGGCAGTATCCATTTTACGACTGTAATATACGACTTCTACGGATTATGATGTGAGTGGACTGGTGTGAATGCGTCGCCAGAGGCAGCTTAAGATACAAAATTTTCGGAAAGGTTCGCCTGATAGCTACTAACGTAACAAGACCTTAGAGCAATACTAAGGTTCATCAAGAAACTGGAGTTTTAGGGCAAAACCTTTGGAGGAATTCTGTTTGGAAGGTTACTCATGTGTCAGTGTTTGCAGAGAGAAGTAAATAATATAAGGAAATAAGTTTGTTTAAGTGTCTAACTGTAAAGGGATTCAGATTTTAGATCGCTACATTGTTTGCAAAAAGTTGCAAGTAATATTATAAATTAAATTTGAAGGGCTACTCAAATATCTAAATGCAAAGAGAACCAGGATTTGCAGTTTTCAAAAGATATAGTTCTGTCACAATTTTATATTGTCCCAATATCATTCTNTATGACGGATTTATCCAAATTTCCTCGACATTTGGAACATTTCCAAAAGACACCCCCCGCCTTAATTTGTTCAAGCGCATCGGACGAAATTTTTACGCATTTGGCGTGGAAGTTCCCGTGGCAGCCGCCGCACTGAAGGCCAGGACTCTTGGATGACAGGCGAGACGAGCAGATCTTGCACCCCGACATCGATACGGGGATTCCGGTTCCAACGACAGGACAAAGGTCAACACGAGCGAATACGACAACGCGGCGGAAGAAAGAATATGTAAAAATAGATATATTAATCCTTCGAAAAATGTTGAATGCAAAACCGAACAAAATCAAACACCACGCTGACCAGCACCCGCGGGTGAATGTAAAAAACAAAAAAGAAGCCTCAAATATAACAATCGCACAACACTACTTAAAAACTCAAGAGACGCGATTATGCGACCGTGCACCTCGCACGTTTTCGCGACTATTTCTGTGATATATGATATGTAGGGTGTTTGATTAAAGAAATTTGTAGAAAGAGGCATTTGAAGAAATGTTTAAATTAGGTACTTAACCTTGAAATTGTGAAAAAGTAAGAATTTCAAAAAATCATTTAAGAGTTTGAAAATGATTTATGGCTCAAATTGAAGATTAAAGCTTCTATTTTAAGATGATATTATCTCTTCCTGCTGTAAGAGAACTTTTTTTAAAACTACCACCGAAGTTGGCATATTCCTAAATTTTCGGAGAGTAATCTATTAAGGTCCACTTTTACCATCGTCCAGATAAGGATGGTAAAAGTGGACCTAAGATGGTTAAAGCAGTTAAATTTTTCGTATAACCAATTAAATAACAAATCAATTCTAATGGAGCGTCCGAAAATGTTAACTCAATGGTCAGATTTTTTATTGAATATCGAAAACTATAGAAATCGAGATTGGAATATTTATTACACAGACGAAACATGATGTGGCACTAATCATTCAAAAATATATGGGTCGAAAAGGTATCTAAAGAAACGGTGGACACATTCGATCATTACCGCGGAGAATTACAAGAAATAAATGGTTATAGAGCCGACCATCTGGCTCTGGACAAAGAGGTATTATTCTACACATAGGTAGCGAAAAAGGATTTTTAGAAGGTTGCCTTAAATGTTTCATAGGTGAAAAAAAAAGAAAGTGAAAACTGATAATCACCACGAAATGAATAAGCAACATTACAAGGAATGCTAAAAACGATTCATTAAGAAGTTACGCGCGATTTTCAAAATTAATAGGAAGTAATAACTGGTTTATTATTTCAACTGCTTATCCAAGTTACTTGTGTTTTTTAATAATTAACTGCCAGACATAAACAGGTATTACATTTTAAAACCTAGGTATGAATTTTACTAACGAAGAAATGGCAAACATACATTTCATGTATGGACGAGCTATTTTTAATATATTGGCTCGACGGCTTTAAGCCTTAGCATTTCCGAATCGAAGATGTCCAGATAAAGGTACTTTTACGGGAATCCATCAACGTCTTCGTGAAACAGAATATTTTAAACGGAATACTTCAGATTGTGGGGTTCCAAGAAGCACCAAACACCTGCATTTGCAGAAGACGCATTCGGTAGATTGTGGAGAATTCTAAAACCAGTACCAGAAAATTATCTTTAGAAGTAGGCAGTGGCGCCGACTTTTTAATATTTAAGGGGGGGCAGAACTTTTTCAAATGGTGCACCTTTTTACAATACAATTGTACACTTTTACAATTTTCCGGGGGGGCTCAAGCCTCGTGGTGCCGACTTCGGGGGGGCTCAAGCCCTGCAGCCCCCCCGTACGGCGCCACTGGAAGTAGGTGCTTTGCATAGTACAGTATGGAGAGTTGTGCATGTACAGCTACTTTACCCATACCAGTCTTAGTGAAGCTGATATTCAACAACGAATGCTATTTTGTAACTGGTTTCTACAGCAGTGTATAATTCTGAACTTCCAATTCGTTGTGCATTTTACGGATAAACATCATCCTTCCATTACAAACATGCCGTGACTTATGGTTAACGGTGCTTCACCACATTTCATTCGTGTTGCCAAGGATTACTTAAATAATACTTTTCAGAATCATTGGATTAGCAGAGGTGGACGAGTTGTGTGGCCACCATGTTCCTCATAGTGCCTACTCATACTTTAGAAGAACTGCGCGATCAAATCAATCATAGTCCTTGTATATCTTTATTATTTTGCCGAAAATAGGTAAATACGCACGAACGAGATGGAGTAATTAGTTGAACGTAATTACTTTAAAGAGAACTTTTTGGCAAGCAACCCGGCAAAGTTAACCTTATTCCATTTTTCCCCGGTTCTTCTTAAAGCTTATTTACTTAAAAATTTCTTTTAAAGTCACTTCTTTACTTGGTATACTATAAATAACTTGTTTTTATATAAATTTTTGTATTTTTGCGGAACAATTCTTTTATCGCCGCAATTCCATTTTGTTCCCATCTATAATAAATTGGAAAATCGACTGAAACGGAAGTATTCTGCATCATAAATGTACGTACATTGCATGGGGCTTATTTCGGCAGTATCCATTTTACGAATGTAATATACGACTTCTACGGATTATGGTGTGAGTGGACTGAATTGCGTTTTCGCCAATTTTACCTTTGGGACAGACAAAGAGATATATGCGTGGCGATACTTGGATATAACAAATTTTCGTGGGATCAAAGAGAGAAAGTTATAAAAGGACGTGAAAGCTTTGTTTGTAGGGGACTATTTTTGTTTGCTTTTTATTAAAAAACTCAACAGAAATTATTATAAGTAAGTAAGAAGCATGCTGCCCGTTAAAACGCCTGTTTATGTTAATCTAACATCTAACATTTAACAGAATTAAATTAAAAAGAATTCAAATGTTTTAAATTTAAAATAAAGTTTCTTTTCAGCCAGTAGGAGTTCATTCTAGAATGGGGAAAGATAGAACGGGTGTTATGGTGGCATGTTTCTTGATTAAATTCAAAGGTCTCGATGCGGAAACAGCTCTGTCGGAGTTGAGACGTAATAGACCAAGATCTATAGAAGAATTACCCGATTTCGAAGCTTCAATAAACGAATATTATAAAACTGTACAAAATACCTAATTTTTAGTTGTATTTGTTATTTCTAATTTTTGTTATAACCAAAAACTTTCAATGTACAAAATTTTTGTTGATACAAAAAGTGTGTAAATAATAATCCTTGAATTTTTTAAATTATTAAAGGGTTCAAAAAATCAGAATTAATCGAAAAATTCGTTTGAAATGTTCATTGGAACCGTTCACAATCAACCATTTGGAAAACCCGCATGATTTTTTTGTTGTTTATTTTCCATATATCGTGATTGGTTCACCCTTGATATATTTTCCCAGATGAACATCATGCGACTCTCTTCGTAATGCTTGATTTATATGCTAAACGATTTTTGAATTCGCCTGTCAACGAATACTGCACATTTTACGAGATGTATTTCGACACCGAACGATTACTGGACTAATCAATCAAAATTAAAAGTGTTTAAAACCTCTTAGCTTTTTTGTAGTTTAAAATCTTAAAATAAACAACATATCTTTTAAATTGATCATCTAACAAAAAGGTATGGTTTTAATAGAATTTATAGCTTTGTGTTTTTTTCTTCCTTTTTATTTATAGTAACATAAAATTTGATTATTTATTTATTAATTATTTTACCTTTGAGTTTAATTGTGATATAAATAAATTTATAACACGATTTTAATTAATTTTTTTATTATTTTTAGGCAGTTGGCATTCATTGTCGAATGGGTAGAGGAAGAACTGGCGTAATGGCAGCTTGTTACCTAGTTCGTTTTTTGGATTTGGCTCCAGAAAGAGCAATCACAGAAATACGTTTAAAAAGGCCTGGATCTGTAGAGGTTATAGAACAAGAACGTGCAGTTATTAAATATTTTGATTGTCTTCGAGGAACATTAACTTCTGAAATACAAGGAATAAAAGACAAAACTTTAAAACATAATTTGTATTCACATAAAAAATAAAGCTTAATAAAATATAATTTAATGAATTTAATTTAATTAATTTTCCTATTAATATTACAGAAAGGTCAACCAAGCAGGCAATATATTCTCTTTATGGTTTTAATTATTGAGACCCAGCACGGAGGAATTTCTAAACTATACAAGTTTTCCACCGAAATACCGTTCGCAAAGCTTCATGGTTGGAACGATACGATACATCTCCAAACTTTGGCTAGTAATAACGAAGAACTTACACCGAAGAGAAATCGAATTATCCAGAGTATTTACTAGGTACTTGAGCATCCTTTTTTTGGAGCACAAAATCTTTTATCTATTTTCACTCGTAATAAATTGCTTGGAGATAACATAATAGGATTTTAGTTCTCGCGGAGATATTTCTAATAATTACAATTACTAAGATTGAGTATTTTGAATTCCTACTAAGTCTCGACAACGTCGACATCTAACGTGTTACTTTACTCTTTAAATTCGATATTAGATTCTCGTCAACAACAATTCTCGAACTAATGATCAACGGGATTTAGGGGTAATATTCAGACCTTGAGTATGACCTTGACATTAAAAGATAACCCACTATTCGGAAATGTAAACTAATTAAGTTAATTAGATTAAGAGATTATATGAGTTCGGAAGATTCAAAACTTAAATATATTCCTAAAAAATACATGTCTGGCACTAACCTAAGTAGATATTTATGTAATCATGAATTGAATTCTTATTATTTGATGTGTAATGTTGATGTAAGATTGAATGATTAAGCTGGAGTGGAATTTAAAAGCATTCAATCAGATTTTACCTGTACACCCTTCGGATTATCGGTCGATAAATCAGCATCCAATGGCGCTACAGCTCTATTCGAGTCTTGACCTCCTCAACTTTCCTTATAATAATAATAATCACTTTATTCGGACAATTTTATAATTACAATCTTGTGAAGTAATATAATATACAGTGTGCCCAGGATAGATGTTACAAGAGGTATAATAACTTATAAATTTTAGAAATTTATTTTAAGGCTAAGGAATTAACCCCTGCTTGGTGTGAACAGAATTTTAAAAATATTTTCATATTTTGAAAACAAAGGCGACCTTGACAATGAATCGAAAACTGTTTTTAGTTTAGATAAAGTAATCTTTTTGATCATGATACGGAAAAGTTTTATTAAGAAAAGCTGTTCAAAATGAGAAATTAAAGTCTTACACAAAATTGCAGAAGAATCTATCTACTTTGGTTGAACCATCACATTTTAGTTTAAATAACATAAATATTGTATAGTAATTGAAATATGAACTAAAACTGAGGAAAAACACAATTTATTTGTCAATATTTGCGACTACTTAAGTCATTTTCTTTTTTCATGTCATTTTTCATTGTTTTTTTTCTTCACTCTGATCTAATCTAAAATATGGTGGTTTAATCAATGTAGGTAGATCTTTCTAAAATTTTGTATAGTTTTCTTAATGATATTTTGCCGTATCATGAATAAAAGCTTACGTTACCTGAACTCAAAATAGTTTTCGCTTCACTATCAGGGGCGAGTTGATTTTCAAAATATGAAAATATACTTAAAATTCTCTCCACACCAAGCAGGGCTTACTTCCTCAGCCTTAATATAAAATTCAAAAATTTTTAAGTCATTATACCTCTTGTAACATCTATCCTGGGACACACTGTATAAATAATATACCTCATTCGGTAATAATTTTCAAAAAAAAAAGAAATAATAATAATACAAAAAATAAGACAAAATATTATAAAAGAAATATAATTTTGTTATTGAGAAAAGAGCCCGAACATATAGGCGGAGTTCAGGTCAACCCTAATCTTCCACTCAACCTAACAGAAAGAAAATCCGTAAAGAAAAAAAAAACAACAAAACAAAAGAAAAATAGGATACCAATACCAATTGCAAGGAAATAATAGAAACTCATAGAAGAATCAGAGATAAAAGTTAAAGGCACCCATAGACAGCTAGCTACACGCAGAAGCCCTCCGTCACCCACCCATCAGCCAACATTTCAATGGTCTTTTAAATCGGATCAGGGGCAGTCCAATCAGGTGCCGAGGTAAATTATTGTATATGGTGTATATCTGATAAGAAAAACACCGTTTAAAAACGCAGTAATTGAAGTGTGACAATACCAGAGAGTCGCATAACAGTCTTTTTGTGTGCCAGTCGAGACTATAACGATTAGAGTAAATCAATTTTAACGAGCCATAAGCTCGACCAATCAACTGATTAGTGTGCTCCCTAAACCTGAACGCCTCATCCATAACCAGTCCGAGGTTTTTAGCAGACTTACTCACTGGAATAGGAGTATCTTTTATCGACAGGTGATAAAACCCATTAATAAATTTCTCTTTTAACTTCGGGGTCCCAAACAGAATGATCTGGGTCTTATTAGTGTTTATCTTTAAGCAATACTCCCGAGCCCCATCGATAATGAAAAGGACTCCTTCAGAAAAGGACAGATAAATCTGAGTATCATCAGCATAATAGTGGACGCTACAGAAATTAACGAAGCTATTGAAATTCCTCGTGTAAATTTTAAATAGTGTAGGGCCGAGAATCAATCCCTGCGGGACCCCAGACCTTATCTCCAAAGCACTCCACTTCACCAGATCAATACTGACTGATTGAATCCTGCCTTTAAGGTAATTTTTGAAAAAAGCTAATGATATTAATAAATCTTGGTTTAGAGTATCGAATGCTCTGGAGAAATCCAACATCCCCAGAAGAGTCGATCTATTGGAGTCAGTTGCAGTAACAATATCAATCATTATGTTGTTCAGAGCAGTTTCACAGCTATGTCCTTCCCTGAAACCAGACTGATTCACTGGAACAATGCGCTCAGCCTTCAGAAACTCCGTCAATTATCTGTTAACTATCTTTTCCAATACTGTTGATAAGAAACACAAAATGCTTATGGGTCTTAGGCATGAGTATTCGTTAGGACTTGGTACTTTCGGTACCGGTATCACAATGGACTGTTTCCATATTGAAGGGAAAACACCTTCTAATAGACAACTATTAATAATATTTGTTATATGAGATAAGATTACAGGAGCATTTTATTTTATATTATGTAATTCAGTTAAAATATCACTCTCGGACACCAACCTAAATGAGAAAACACCTGGGCCAAATTTTGCTTTACCAAAGTCATTAATCAAATTATCAACCCTACAGTGGCTATAATATTAAGTTTCCAAGAAGAAATTATTTAGTTCGTTGTCGTTTTTTATGTGTTGTGGAAGGGAATGAACCTTACATGAGTAATGTAAGCACGTTTCTCACACTTAATAGCGGTATTTACAAGACTTCTTAATTCTTTATAATAGGTCCAGTCAGACTGACTTTTTGTTTTTTTAAATTTTGACAGAGCCTCATCTCTTAAGTCTCGCATCAATCTAACATTATCAGTAAGCCAGGGATATGTCAACAGCTGAGATCAACAAATGATTTAGCAAGTTTACCTTATCGTCAATAACCTGTAGGTGATACATATCATCAAAAGGCAGTGACTGGATAAAGTTTAAAAAGAGAGCTTGATCAAAATATTTCAAAGACCTAATATACTTAGGCAAAGTCACTGATTCGACTGTTAAATTAAAATTACAGAATATAAGTTCACTTACATTGTGTAAGTGAACATACACCAGTATAACACACCTAAACAAATTTTTAATTTATTGAAAGAAAAAGATATCCAGCATTGTTCAATTGAATTACTATAGTCCAATATACCTGTTTTCTTAAGATTTCTCTCTCTAGTGTATCCAGCCTTTCGCCCTTTCTTTGTGTAAGTTTCCACGTTTCTCTTCCGTACGATAGTACGGTATCGATCACAGTACACTTTAATTTTGGTTTTTCTGTGAATGCCTCTGGATTTTAGTATGGGCCTTATTTGCTGTATTTATTCTCTTAATTATGTCCTTTGCTTCATCGTTGTCACATGACATGTTGAGTATTAGGTATGTGAACTCTTGTTCAACTTTAAAGCATAGGACGAAACATCACGATAAACGAATAAAGTTTATAGTGATGTTTCATCCTATGCGATTTCATAGTTGCCTACTCTGTACAAGGACTTTGTTGTTTTCTCATTGACTTCCAGGCCTATTCCCTTAGCTGCGCTTTCAGTTGAAGGGTTTATCTATATTTGTTGTTTTTCTTGCTACTATGTTAATGTCGTCTACTGATTTGTTCTTTAGTTGTTGCGGCTTAATAACATCG